ATTACTCATATATTAGATAAGATTTGATATAATTTATCAGGATGAGTACAATATAATGACTTTTTCCATACTTTCGAACTAAAATAGATGACTCGCTAACCCTTGACCCACTAGCTCGATTGGGTCTAGGTCAACTCGCAGGTTGACAATCTTGGTTAATAGCCATGTGCCCCCTAAACTATGGTGTTTTTGCTAAATTGATCCTCGAAGTAATATGTTTCCTATTGTGGCCCTTGAAATTAAAATATTCATTCATAAAAAAATTAATATATTTTCTTAACATAATCCTAACTCTATTTCACTTTTAATTATAAAAAAAAAAAAAATTTCACTTTTGGTGCTTTCATCCCCATAACTAAATATATAGACACAAAAACAGTGGGAAGTCTGTTCCTCTAACACTGCTTGTACATACATGATACATCTTAGAACGTCAAATAACTCAAGAAGGGGAATGCTACAGCAGTTTGTCAAACTTGAGCAATTCCCTTCTTCACCAACATATCATAGACTCTGTCAACCTTGCTCGGTTCGACCTTGAACAAGCCATGGGCATCAGCTTTCTTCCTCACGCTTCCCTTCAACACCTCCGTCGATATTATCTGCATCATCTTCAGATAATGTGCGGGTAATATCCTCATTTCCCTGCACAGTTGCTTCTCCTACAAGAAACCCAAGGATCATCTAGGATAAAAAAAGCTGCAAACTTCAGCCTACATTAGCTCGTGTTGAATGAAGGGTAATCAAGGTCTTACAGATTCGGACAGCAACTCAGCTCCCGGGAATCCAGTGATATCCCAATCATAGAGGACATCTGGCACTACTAGTTGCTGAGAACTAGTTGGATACTTGGCAGCTTCTCGAGGACTGCTGACATCAGCTTCTCCTTTGAGCTGATGGCCTGACCTCAGCAAGCCTTTGCCACTTGGACCAGCGACTTGTGTGCTCTCCTTTGCTCTCTGACAACTATGATCACCTTCTTTCATCTTCTTCTCCTCTATGAACTGATTCGCCTCAGCAGCAGTTCGACAGCCAGCCGTTCGGGCCTCCTGCTTATAACGCATCTTTTTCAGCTTTACTAATGATAATAGCGCTATATGTTAGCAAGGGTTCATTCGAGACTGAAGAGCAATAAAATCAAACCTGGAGCTCTGCTATTCGCTTAGCAATTCGGTGCTCCTCGATGACATTCTTCATAAGCGCCGCATGTTCTTCCTTGGAGTGGAACCTCATGAAAACTTTGTAACGTTTATATATTTCCTTCTCATCAGGTGCAAGGTTTTTCTCGAATGGATCGGGATAAAGCAGATTCCTTTCTAGTATAAAATTTTTCCTTCGTTTTCTCTCGTCCAGCCTGGCAATCAAGATTACAGTCATCTCTCTCATTCTGTGTGGTAGCTCTCATTTTAACTTCATGCTAAAGTAACATACAGGTACCTTTTCCCATAAATATGGAGCACTTGCAGCTTGAGTTGGCGTTCATAATCTGTATCAGTTTCTTTGAATTCCATGTCTGCCAGCATTTGTTCAGCATCATTGTCGTATTCAACCTCAAACTCCTGGCGTTTGAAGTTATAGCCACTTAACTCTGTTAAAGAAGGTCCTTCTTCTGCCAAACCCCTTGGCTTCTTTTCACCGATGCTTCTGTCAGCCTGGGATTCTATAAATCATGGATATGAAACAAGTATAAAGACGGGGTTAACTTCAACATTGAAGAGAAAATGATCAGATTGCTAGAGAATGTGTATGGCTTACCCTCCAGTTTAACAGCGGCGTTGAGTTGGGCTATAGAAGCAGCCTTCTTTTTCCCACCAGGGCATGCCTTGCCGCTACTTGGGCCAGCATGTGAACCAACTTATTAATGCACACAATACGAACAATGATGCATTAGGTTAGATTAAACCGCAATATGAAGATAGAAGAAAAGGCTACAAATGCATTTGTCCTCACCAACGCTTGACGTAGATGAAGAATCTACATGTTCTTTCTTCGGTGTTGGTTCTTCACTTCTAAAAAAGCACTAGATGATTAGATTGGAAAACCAGATAATAAGTAAATATAAAAAGGTGTTCAGATAACATGTAAAAGCATTCATACTTGATTTTCACACCAATGGAAGACTCTTCTCTAAGGGTGAGCTCCTCAAGCACAGGAGGGTCTGGTAGTAGATTAATACGGAAATCAATCAATCTTATATGAAATCAATCACAGTGTTTATAACTGAGAAGAGTTGAAGGAATGATCAGGTTAGAGAGGAAAGCTACCTTTCCTTTTTATGCCACATTGCTTGGCCATTGCAAGAAGTTCCTCTCTGCTCTTTCCCATGATATGAGACATGTCCTGCAACAATATATCATTCAGTATTAGATATCAGCGCATTGGATGTACTTAGGTATGTCCCTGCAATAGTATATCAAAGTCATTCTCGGTATTAGGTATGACTATATTGGATGTGCTTAGTACTTTTAGTTGGTAAATTGGTCTTACTGCAAGCGGAAAGCACGGAGAGTTCATGTAGACAGTAGTATAGTGATCGATGCACTCAGATTTGCTCTTTGTCCCAACGTGTTCTCCAACTTCGGCCCAGTTTCCAAATCCATAAGTTCCAATGCCCTAACAATCAAACATATTCATTGTCTGACCATCATGTCCAGACCCATAGAGGACTATAAGAAGGCATTACCAACAAGATATTCACAAAAAAAGCAGAATATGATTAAGAGTGAATGAACTACCTCCAGGAGTAACATCTCTTCGTCAGCATTCCAGTCTGGAGAAATGAGTGGGAAAGACAAGTTGTCCTATTGCAAAACAGATCAAAGAAAATGACATAAGTACACAAGCCCCTATCCACACTTCAAACAGAGAATTACACAATATTGAAACAGGCTTCTCTCACCATAACCCTATACGGATGATTGCATTTGTGGGGAGAAACTTCAGCTCCAACACAAAAGCACTCCACACAGAGGTCGAAATCAGGACATACCGCACACTTCATTCGAACCACTCCTGAGATGTCTTTGCAACAGTAATTACAGTGGTATATAGATGGTTTCCCTATCTCTTGGTATACTGCATTGAACAAAGACCGAGGGTTACAATGTGGAAAACTCTTACACAATGAAAAAACGGAAAAGCCAATATAAGTTACTGAAAGCCATGCCAGTAGATGTTGAAGCAGTCTCCACGATCTGGGCTGTCGAGGCACCTGTTTTTCTTCTTTTTGATCTAATGGGCCAAAATGCAGAGAACTTCTAGTGAGTAAAACCATTACCCATTCATGGCAGCAAAATGAATCATCATAACATACGTTTAGCTGTAGATGTTTTTCACTTGACGAAGTTCTATGTTTCCTTCAAAAATATCGACAGTTGGCCATACATTTCAGTATTGGCAAACAGGAGCTCAATCCGAAACTCCCAAACTTATTTTCTCAAAACCGAAATGAACAGCAAGTAAATGGGCGTAAGAGGTACGAACTTTTGGAGTTTGCAGAAGAGAAAAGATTCGCCATTTAAGGGAATATAAATTACTTGACGGACCTTAGGTTGTTATCGTCGTTACCCGCCGCGCGGGAGACTCCCCGGTAGCGTCCCATTTCTTCAGCTGGAAATCGCGCGAAGGGAAAAGAAAGGTGGACGAGGGAATTGATGGAGAAAACCCCGCGGGAATTGTTGCGAGTCGAAAAGTTGTGATTTTCTCGGATTGGGAATTCCAATTAGGGTTCGGACTTCGGAGTGTCTGACTGGGAGACAGCGGATTATGCACACGCCAAGTTTTTTTTTTTCTTCTTTGGTAATCAGACCGGCGCAAAGGCGCCTAACTCGTATTAATCATAATAAGCCGTTCATGGGTAGTACCCATTACATCATAGCGGAGTCATTGATCAAGTTCATGGCCGTACACATCGAAGAAATGTGTACCAAAATTATAAACATGACATTTTTTTGTGAGACAGTCGTCAGCAAAATTCGCTTCTCTAATCATGAGAAACCACAACATCTCAATCAGGACTCAAGTGATTTCTCAATTGAATAGCAATGTTTCTATGACGATGAGAATCATTCAAGCTTTCTTTGATAATGGAGATCGTGGTAGTTAAAATCAAGATTGAACTGCACCTTGCGGTAACCTTTTTTCCAAGCCATCTTAAGATCTTCAACAGCACCTTTTAGCTCTGCTGCTGTGGTGGGGCAGTTGCCAAGGTCGTAAGTGAAGGCACCCTTGCATCTCGCAAGATGATCTCTCAGCAGCCCCCCAGCAGCTGCACTTCCATTTTGCGCATTAACAGAAACATCAGATTGGATTTGGATCCATTCCTCCTGCGGTGGCTCCCATCCCACTTGTGTACCGCTTCTGTTAAACTGGGTTCCAGCTTTGAGTTTCTGGTCATTCTGGTGAGCATGCCAAACAATGCTACACGTCAGCTTTTTTGTAAACGGTCAGCGAGTGGTATTCAGTCAACGGACTTTTGGATGTAAGTGTGGATGGAGGAATTACCACTTTGTTATCCGTCCAAACACGTTCTATTGAAATGTCCAAAATTAAACTTTAATAACCATTTTGTACTAAGTAATAAGTTGTGTGAGATTTATGGTAAGGCTAAATTGCAAGTTTGGTAACTTGAATTACTAGTAAAGTTCAGGTTAGCCACTAGAATTATTTTATTCTATCCTTAGTCACTTAAATTAGATCAAGCATTTAAGTTTGGTCACTCTCCGTTAGTCTCCGCTAACTTTGGCTGACATGGCAGTCAACTCTGAAAGTTGACCGTTAAATAAGTGACGTAGCAACTGTAAAATAATAAAAAATTAAAATTTAAACTTTTTACAATTGCCACCTCATTATCACAATAAATTAAAAATAAATAAAACAAAACAATATAATTAAATTGAACAAACCATCATCGGCCTTCCTCTCCTCGCCCAAACCCAGCAAGGAAGCTCATGCCGAACCTCTGGCTCCAACATCGACTCTAAGATTGAGATATCATAGCACTGAAGCACCTGGCTCTGGGTGGAAGTTTTCGCAACGTTTGTTCTTCCGTGCATTCGTCAAGGAGAGGTAAAACAAATTCGTCCCCCACAATCCCTAGTCGGAGGAAATGTCTACGTTTAGTGGCGATGAAACAACACTTTGGCTTCCTCGGCGCCGCTTCGGCTCTCGTCTTTTCATGTAATATGAATCCCGCCATCTCTTTAGATTTCAGATTCGCGATCAGATTGAAAGATGTGGATCTTTCTTCTAAGCACAAAATTGGACTCTCATTCGATTTGGTAATGGTGATTCGGGTATGGGAGCAGCCTATGGGACGACGAAGAGCGGCGTGGGAGTGGCGTCGATGGGAGTGATGATGCTGGAGTTGGTTATGAAGTCGATAGTTCCAGTTGTAATGATTGGAGTGCTCGGTATCTACGACCTGATTATTATTGTCACCATCAGTACCGGTATAAATCGTAAGGCCAAATCGTACTACCTATTCAACGGCTACGCACACCTTTCATCTGGATTGGCCTGTGGTCTCGCCGGACTCTCTGCTGGCATGGCCATCGACATCGTTGGAGATGCCGGTGTTAGGTACCACCTTCAGAGACCCTCGTAGTCGTGGCAGCCGCTGCAGATTATTCAAGTTAAATATAATTGTTTTGTTTTATTTATTTTTAATTTATTGTGATAATGAGGTGGCAATTGTAAATTTTTTTAAATTTAAATTATTTATTATTTTTTAATTGATACGTCACTTATTTAACGGTCAACTATTAGAGTTTACTGTCACGTAAGCCAAAATTCACGGAGACTACTGGAGAGTGACCAAACTTGAAATGTTGAACTAATTTAAATGATTAAAGATAGAATAAAGTAATTCTAGTGGCTATAGCTTAGTTTGGCCATGTTGTAGGTTTTGCAGAAGTAGCTTCTGGCTGAAACTTTTAGATAATTACTTTTCAAAAAAAAAAAAAAAAAGAAGTTGAGTGTTTGGTTGTAAAACTATTAGAAGTGATTTTTAATATGAGAGATTGTGTAGAATGACTATAAATGACTTATAATATAAAATATGAATAAAAATTATGAACAATAAAAAGTAGTCAAAATGGATCTTGGTAGATTTCTTTTATATTAAATAATATGATTTTATAATTTATTTTATTTTTAAAATATGATATAAATGAGGGAAAATTATATTTTATGAAATAAAATTAAAATATGGTAAGGTGTATTTTCAAAACAGATTTTCGTAGAAGCTCCAAATCGGAGCTTCTGCTTGTATGTTATACAAAATCGCTTTTCGGTTTTTCAAAAGTCGAGTTTTTAAAGATGTTTGGCCTGTTTCAACTTTTGGGACCGAAAAATACTTCTAAAAACCGGACCAAACATAGGGAATGGAATGTAAACTTTACTAGTATTCCACTGACCAAATTTGCAATTTAGCCTTTATGGTAAATTAGCCCACAATTTAGGGTTTCCCTTACTTTCGTGCGTCTCCTGGCCTCCCCGCAAAGAAAAGCTCTCACCACACCAAAACCTCAAAATTCAAAAGTATTAGTAATCAGTCCGTCGCCGGACATCCCACTCGCTGGCCGGACCTCCCGCTCAATCTGCCAGTGACGATACTCTGTTCAGTTTCCGGTGTTCGCAGCGTAGATTTCGCAACGGCCTCGTTCTTCTATTCTGCTGTCGATTCTTCTGCAACCTACTCGTAATCCAGGTAATTTGATGAGGTTTATGAGCTTGGGAGAATGATATCTAGGTGTTATTTCTTTTGTTTGCTTAGTTTAGGTGTGATTGGTCTACCTACCTATAATTGCAGGGAGAAGAGTTGAGTACCATTCTCTGTTAGGACCTCTATTTGATTTCAGTTCGGGTCATTTCATTACCTTCAATTCAATGCAGGTCGCAATTTCCAATTTCCTTCATCTATATTATTGTGGATTGCAGGAAAATGGTGGGACTTTCGCTGGGGGAGAAGCATTTCATTAAGGGGGGCATCGATCAGAACATCCGTAGTGATGGACGGAAGCGAGACTCTTACCGGCCGATTTTCGTCGAAACCGGCGTCATCCCTCAGGTAATAGCTCAAATGTAGCTTCAGGGATTTTTAATAATATATTTGATCTTCCCCTTTTTTTCAAAGTTTGGTCTTGTTTGGGGTTATTGATAGGCAAATGGCTCTGCTCGTGTTCGAATGGGGGCAACAGAAGTTATTGCCAGTGTGAAGGTATTTCAAAAACAGGGTTCTTACGTTTGTCCTGTTCTTGCTCGTTTTCAGTCTTGTTTAAGGTTTGATTGGTTACTATTATGCAGGCAGAGCTCGGAAGACCTAGTGCTTTGCATCCTGACAAAGGCAAAGTTGCCATATTCGTTGATTGCAGTGCTGTTGCTGAACCAACATTCGAGGTTTTCTATTTCAGCTCTTGGCATTTTATATTCCTCAGTACTTCAATGTTGTTTCACCAGTTGATTCATATCTGCAAGTGTAATCCAGGGAAGAGGGGGTGAGGAGTTATCGGCGGAACTCTCAGTTGCCCTTGAACGCTGCCTCTTAGGTGGCACAAGTGGAGCAGGTTTTCGTTCTTACTGAAGCTACGCTTATTTGTAGTTTTAATGGCACTACTCCATAGATTATTGATCATCCAAGTGGTTTGATCTTGTTGCAGGTGCAGGAATCGATTTGACTTCCTTGATAGTAGCAGAAGGAAAGATTTGTTGGGATCTTTATATCGACAGCCTTGTCATTAGTTCTGACGGGAATCTACTTGATGCCTTAGCTGCTGCCATTAAGGTACCCTAGATGATCCACTAGATGCTTGATGATTTTTCATTGTAGTTCTATAGCTTTAAGTTGATGAACCCAACTCAAACACGTTAGCATATGGGTTATAGTTAGCAGTCTAGCCTGTTTAGGTCCCACATTTGACACAAATTGGATGCGGATCTTTACCTTTTTAATGATTCATTGGTTGGAGGGCACGTGAGTTCTTTCTTTTTTATTTTTGTGGTATGAGTTCAGGTTTTTAGCGCAGGGGCACATTTCAAATATTTCCGTAGTCCGAGTGATAAAATGCTTATACAACTTCTTTGAATGCTCTTGTGATGGTGTTCTTATCAAACTCCTTAAGGCTGCCTTGGCTAATACCGCCATCCCGAAAGTCAACATCTCAGCTGCTGCATCAGGAGATGAACAGCCGGAGGTGGACATAAGCGACGAAGAGTTTCTACAATTCGATACTTCTGCAGTCCCCGTTATAATCACGCTAACACAGGTAATGATTGTATCATCTGATTCTTTTAGTCTGTAATATTTAATCACTTGTTCATGTTCTAACTCCAAACTTTCACTCTATTTTAGGTAGGGAGGCACTATATTGTGGATGCTACATCAGAGGAGGAATCCCACATGAGCTCTGCGGTTTCCATCTCCGTCAACAGGAAAGGGCACATTTGCGGGTTGACCAAGCGAGGAGGCGAAGGCCTTGATCCCAGCGTTGTTTCTGATATGATTTCGGTCGCTCAACACTTGAGCGAACTGCTGATGAGCAGATTGGATTCCGAAATCTCAGCAGCAGAGGCCGAAGGTGGAGATGAAGAATTGTGATGCTGATGAGACTTTTGGAGAACCAGTTTTGACCTTTTTGTTACCTAATGAACATTTTTTAGATTGTCGTAGCTCTGACAACTTATGATACTTTGAAACGTGTTGTGTATCTGCTTGCAAATGTCTGATAGTCGGGACATATGGTGATTGATTATAGCCGTAGCTCGGTCGAGCCCGGTTAATCGTCCACCACTTGGCTTTTGGAGAACAGATCAGCCAATGGCCTAGATCTGCTGCACACGCAACGAACGTCTCGGTTCCGTTGATCGCTTTAGTTAGTGGACTGTGGGACCGGATGACTGAACGACTGTACCATGTGTCTGATTTGTCTCCCCATGCGCCAGAGAAAGAGGGAGATCCAAATGTCTATCGTTTCCTAAGTTTTGAAACTAAAAAATTCTTTTAGAATTTCTAATTTCAATCCCTAATTTCCGAAATTTGTACCAAATCCAAAATTCGAAATTTAAAACCCAAATTCTAATCGTGAGCGACTGACGATAAGTTTTAGATTTCCCTGATTCACTACATTCCTTCGCCTTTTCTGTCTCTCTACCCCCTCTTTATCTCCATCTCTTGTAGTCATGTAGATCTTTGATCTTCCTCCGCTCCGCCGTCCGTCTCTGCATTGCCGCCTCTTTCTCTCTACCTCTACCGCTTGTCTCCCTACATCCCGTTGAGATCCTCCTCCGCTCCGCCCTCTCTCCAATTGTTGTTGGTCCGACGAGACTACTGGACGCGGCCCGTATCCTCTGCTCTCCACCATATGTATCCATCGATCTCGAATCTTCAGGTAATTCATCCCCATAACTTGATCTAGCAAGGCAGATGTTATATTCCCGATTTATGTGCTTCATTTCTTAAAATATTCTTCCTTTCCGTCTTCTCAATTTAATATGTTTGCAATGATTTTCTCTGAAAATGAAAACCTCGGATGCTACCCTAAATATACATTTAATATATTCGGAATATATTTGAATGTCTGTTGGAATACATTATCGTTTTTATATTTTCATATTTAGGTATCATGTTTGCCATTGTGTTGAATGTAAATATGATGCAAGAACATCATATTCCCATAGTTTTGTTTCACCAATCCATTTGATGCAGTATGTTCTGAATATGTTACATTAGATTTTAATCTATGACCGTTTGTTAGATGTGTATCTGAAAAACAATTTTTTAGAGTTTCTGCTAATTTAATCGTTATTCTTTTAATCGTCTCTTATTTGTGTTCCTTGTTGTTTATGAAGATGTTTAAAGAATGATCTTACCTTTTTTTAGGAGGGACATCTGTCATGTTTTGCAGGTTTGAATATAGAAGAAGAGTAATTGTTTGAGTTATGTTCTATGGAGAAGATATGTATGGACGATTACCAAATAACTTAATTTTTCATTAGTTATCCTGATTATGTATGTTTCATACTCATTCTTGTAAAGTACCGAATGTTCTAATCCACTGTTTATTATTCAGGAATCCTGGTCTGTGGATTTATCTTGTATGTTGTAATTAAGTTATTGTAATTCCGGATAATGTTGAATTTTCCATCGATTTTAGAGACTTTGTATATATTAGTTATTATTTAAATCATTCGATTGAAGCATGGTTTGTGTTTCAGGACACTCGTTCTCTACTAGTTTCAAAGACGAGAGTATTCATCACTTGTCCATTTGCTGAACATGTTTATACATAAATTATGTTTTTGCTTCAAAAAGAATACCGTTAATAATAATGGTTGTGACACTTAGTAGATCAAATCAGATTGTTATATTTGTCAAAAAGCACAAACTTATAGTCAAAAGTAAATATGTTCAAAATGATGGTTAAACTTGCTAGTGCTACAATGCAACATTGCATGGCTAACCAAAAAACCCATGAGAAAGCACGATAGCAATATGGCCCATAGTATGGGCAATGTCAACATTTTCCAATCAAAATGTCCCCAAAGTGGACATGTGAAACTAGTCCACTTAGTTTCAAGAGTCGTTTGTTACTTCTTCTTTTCACTGTCGACCTTTGCTCTTAGGTCATAGCTTCCTTTCCTTTTCTCTGCCTTTGAGTAAAGGTCTGGAAGCAAGATGTTTTGCTCATGCATCAAGATCCTTGCCGCAATTCGTGCTCGTATGAAGTTTAGTTGGTCTCGATCTTCCCACAATTTTTTTTGCTCTTCTGTGTAGTGTCCCTCATATTGTTCCATGAAGTTGCAGCAGAACACACCGCAGTTGTGGGTATCTTGCTGCTGTGGACAATCTGGAACTTCCCATTCAAAGCTTTCGAAACTCTCCTTTCCATTAAGTTTTTTTATGAAGGTGGTCACGTATGAAATAACCTTCGAACCGAGTGTTTGGCATTTGGTTTGGAGACTATCTTTGCATGCCATGCTGTTCAAGCACACATACTTCCGTCTCGCTACGTCAACAGCGAAGCAGAAATAGTGTTTTTCAATATGCACCGGGAATAAGAACTGAAGCAAGGTATCAACATTATGGTTAGAGTCATGTTCATAGCTAGTTAGTAATATTTGACAATGCAACATGGTTTCTCATAGTGTACTCACGTATGCACAGTCAGTGAAGTCTGCCTCGCTCAAGGACGAGTTACATTTGAACCGTTTCATCATTCTCTCACAATGCTTTGCTAGAAGTGGCTCGTTGGAGATGGCCCCGCTTTCCAGGTCTTTCCTTGCATGAACCTATAGAGAAATACAAAGGCCGTTGAATGATTTAAGTTATAATCTAAAGTTGTAGCTAATTTGGATTAAATCTGTACAGTTTCCTACGACTACAAATGTATCGAAACAGTATCTCGTGATTTTTTTGTTTGCTGCCACATTGTTGGAGTTCAGCCAGTGGACATAGGCATTGATGAGATTTATGCACAATTCTTTTTTCAGCCTAAGATGATGCAGCTTCCACTTCATGACAGTTGACATTGCGGACTTATGCACAACTACATCTCTTCAAAGGGCATTCATTTGTAAGATGGGTTAGCATTTAACAACTATGAATTAATCCTTGCACATATCAACAAATAGTACTGCCACTGACTCGTTCTTGTTCAAAGTCTGACAAAGTGAACTCGACCAAAAGAATTTCTTCACTAGTCATCCTACTCTTTGTTTTCCTTGGCAATCTGTATTCCACTCGACACCATCTTCCAATCCTACTATCCCCCTCGAACTTGTAATCTTCCATGCCTTGTCCATCGTTTTGATATGTCTCGACATCAACCATTTTTTCTTGACCTGAAATGCCCAAAGTTCTCAAAAAGAAAGGAGAGTCTAACATAGCATTCCCATGTTCATGTCATAATGTGATAAAGTATATATCTTACAAACAATTGAGGTTGGTAGAAAATTTAACCTGTTTGATCGTTTGTAAAATCTGAAGTATGTACCACATTGGCAGGCTTCTCGAAATTATTCTGGCACTTTAATTCATCTTCTTGATCATCTTGAGCCTTTGGAGGATCCTGATGGGCTAACCTGTCGTCATTTTTCTGTCCCTTCTTGTGTTTGAGTTAATGAATTGGCACTTCAATTCTGCAAGTTGATCTTCTTGGTAGTTTTGACGATCTTGTTAACATCCACATTATCTTCCACATCTTCCCCTTTGTTTGCTCTGATATTCTTCTCCTTATTGTTCTCTAATTTTTGGCATCCCTTTTCTCCTTCATGCCCCTCTTCCGCAATGCTTACCCTTTGGTGAACATCCCAATGTGGTATTTTCAATCATTTTGGCAACGCGCATTGACAATATTTGTTAGTTCATGTCATAATGATAAAAAGTGATTACCAAATCAAACAATTGAGGTTTGTTGTAAATTTCACCTGTTTTGTCATTTGTATCATTTGAAGTATTTACCACATTGGCAGGCTTTTGGACATTGAATTGACACTGCACTTCAGCTCCTTGATCATCTTGAGGCTTTGGAGGAACCTCATCGGCCAACTTGTCGACATTAATTGTTTCCTTGTTGATGTTTGAGTTGTTGCATTGGCACTCCACTTCTGCTAGTTGATCCTCTATTATAGTGTTTACGATGTTGTTAACATTCACATTCTCTTCCACATCCTTCCCTTTGTTTGCTTTGTTGTTCTTGTCGTTATTGTTGTTCATTTTTTTGTCGCCCTTACCTCCTTTCTGCCCCTCTTCCGTAGTGTATACCCTTTGGTGAACATTCCCACTAACGTGGTCTTTTGTGCAGTGCCGTCCAACGCGCATTGACAACATTTCTTTTGCATACTGCACGCGATTCCTCCATTTCGTCTCCTACATCTCTACCATTCTTAACATCAATCGGACCTTCCGTATCCGAGTGAAACACACAGAAAGACAGTACTTGTTAGTTAACATGTCATAGTCATGAATATATTAAGGCAACCCTTTTCCAGGATTTGTACATATGCAAATTAAAACTGGAAATAATTACTTCTGGTTCAATAGCTCTCTCCACAGACAACATCCATTCAGTGTTCGCTTCAATTTTGCACTCGATTCACTTGTGTTGTAGGTCCCCCAATCCACATCACTTATGTATTTTCCATTCTCATAGAACCGCAACTTTGCTTTGTAGACTCTAGAGTCTGTCCAATATGGACAGGTTGGCAAAGTTGTTGCAACCAAGCCATAAAGCTTGACCGAGTCAAGCAAATGTACCTACCTACGAAAGACACATCTTAGTGAACAACAGACCCCATGTCATACTATCTAGCAATAACAGATTAAGAAGAATGCTAGTATATTACCACTAGGAAATGGTAGTCTCCTTTGGGAATTTTTTTTAATTTTTCCTGCTTTGTATTCAGCCAGTCCTCCCCTCAACTTTCGAGCTACAAAACCTGACCAGTTATACCTTCATATGTTGATAGGGTCGCCAACCAAACATTATGCAAATTTGCTTACATCCACCATGTCATTGCTTGTTGGAGCAAGCACCGTCCCTATCGCATACATGCAGAACAACTTCACGAACCTCCTAGGGTCCTTACAAGATAGCAAACATCCTTTTATATCAGACAAATAAACAGAACCATCACTACTACCACTCAAATCTAACACACTCAGCATCAATCTCAGTCTATCTTTGTCGCATTCCTAACCTGTGACCTCTATCTCACCTTTCGGCAACTGATAAATCCTATGCACGTCTTCCTCGCCAAATCCCAAAAACTTACCTTGCCCTAAGTCAAAAAGTCAATTGGATGGATCGTACAACATGATGAGATCTGAAACAATGTCGTGGTCGACCACAGTAATTGATACCTCAAGGATGCCGCTCAGGCCAGCCTTATCCAGTTGGCTATTGATACCTGTTAGATTAGCTCATTTCTTGTAGAGTTGCGCTTGTATTTTATGTATACCATTGGTTCTGCAGCGAAACTGGAACTTATCCGTCTCTTTGCTTCTATTCTCCCTGTCGACTTTCTTGCCTGATTCAATCTTTTCTCGCTTCCCTGATCTTGCAATTTGTCTGCGTTGATGGCTTATATTTTCCTTCGCTTCCTCATATCTGGAGATCTCGACCAGCTCCTACTATCCGCTTCATCGTTCTTCCTTTTCTTTGACATTGTCTTGTTGACCTTGTGATGTCGCATTTTCAACTTCGGCATGATTGGATAGTATTTTGTATTTAGAGATCTTGGCTTTTTTTGCTTTGCTCTGCTGTCGATTTAGAATAGGCGGAGGCCAGAGAAATTTTCGTGATTGTTTGAATATGGTTTGTCGGAAGATATGAAGTATTTCATCGAGTTAGGGATTCTGGCTTTTTGTTTATCAGGAGTAAACGTGAGAGTACAGTAGAGTAAATGGGCCTGTGTTTGATCCCAAAGTCCAATTGCAAAGGATGGTCCACTTATTTTTTCTATTAATTTGGTAATCTACTGTCTGGCTGGATACTGGACTGGACTAGGACCATAGGCCAACCAATTAATCGGATCTGGACTTTACAGTAGTAGTATTTATATAATTTTTTTCAGGTATATATAAAATGCAAAAATCCATTTTGTTTAATTTGTTTCTTTCACATGGTTCTTAATCTCATACTAAAATAGTATTAATTTTTTTTTTGACTCGTGTCATACTGTTATAGTTCCTTTTACTTTTTCTTCTTAACTATCCATTGATTATGAATGTTAATGTTCTTAATGAAAATCATATTTTATCATATTCTTGCTATAAATATCATATTTTATCATTTCGAATACATATTTACTGATTAGTACATATGCCTTAATGGAAATTAATACAGTGCTTGATAGCAAAAAAAAAAAAAAAAAAAAAAGAATATAGCATACAAAATACATAGCAACTAATGCTAAAACATCACGGACAATTGAACATGGAACATTTAACCTCTAAAATACTAATAGATAAAGACAATGCTTTTTTTAGAGCAAGGGTTCTGGTAATCGATAATTAGAACAACTAGGCATCGCTTCTTCCACACCATTCACGACCCTCTGGTTCATCATCCTCGTAGAGGCCCATAGCCCGTACCCTGCTTCCCTATCTTCTTCGCCAGACAAC